TACAAATTCACTTTGCTCAGATCCTCAATTCTAAGATTTAGATCCTTTAGCATTTTGTGAAGAAAACAGATTTCTCTTTGCATGTATTTCCAGCTCTTTGATCTGGGAAATCGGGTCAGCTCTTATGCACTGATTAAGTGAAGTATGAATACTTGGAATAGCAAATTCCATAATTTTTCCTACAAGTTCTGTTCAAAAATATAATTTTAGGCAAGGTGAACCTCTGGCATAGATGCATTTCATCATTTTGTTAGAAGCAAAATATCTTTAGGAGGTTTTGTGTCTAAGGTCTCACAGAGATTGAGGCAATTGACATTTAGTTTTGAGATTCCAAATCAAGATAATTCAGAAAATTTTTGTAAGCCATAAGGGAAAGCATTCTTAAGATACTGGCTAAATGTAATGGCTAATGGTCATACAGGTTAATATTATTATACACATCCAATAATTACTAAAGGTCTTCTTATTGACTTTACTGTTTGAGAGAGACCATTTTCTATTAGAAACATTTATAATTGTTTCCCTGCAATTGTCCGAGCTAAGTTACAATTGTGTCATATAATGACCTTTAAAAACGTGCCTAGAAAAGCCTGCAGCTGTTCCCTCCTTGGGTTCTCTCTACCTAGTTATATTTAAGCCTATATTTAAGTGTCTCTGAAACCAGGCAGTAATAAAAGGGACATTATCCTTAGCAAATATCTTAATCATGGTAAATCTCTGTTGCCCTACAAATGACTGCATGGGGGATTAGAGTGGAGTAAGCCATTTGCTGAATATCACTGCCACCTTTCCGAGGCCATTTAAGCGTGTTTAATTTTTCAGGGTGAAACATGAAACCCACTAATACAAATGTTTGCATTTGGCCTGAATTATATCCAGACTGTAACAGTTAGAGCAGACTTAGGACCAGATTGTGAGTGATCTGTAGGAGGCCAGTTCTGCTTGGGAGAGTGAGAGAGAAAAATGCATTTTTGTTCCCAGTCCCAGCTCTCTTATGTCACTTACGCTGCCTTGCTTCTTTTCAATATTTATGTAAGGCTATCATGGGGTGAAGTACCAGTAAATATATGGATGATGCTTAGCTCTGTATTTTTAAAATATCAATCCTTACTGTCATCCAGTGCCTGGGAGCCATGAGTGTGTCTGACTTGTGTTCATCCTGGCTAAAATGGAGGTGACAATGCTATGAAGTACAAAATACTTTCAGGGACTTGTGTCTTTCAGGGACTTGTCCCTTGCATCACTGCCTATCTGTTTGTTATGCACATTTCTATCAGATTGCCCAGAAACATGGAGACTCCCTGTTTTCCAGTGGTCAAGCTTAAGAGAATCTTCTGGGAGACTGAAGTGCTACTGTGCATTTCATGCTTTCTTTTTTTCCTTTTAACAAAGCAGTGTCTCTCTGTGCCTGCCCAGGCAACTGCAACCCTAGCCAGTGTGGACTCAGCCAGAGCCTTGCGATTGGCAGCTCCAGGAGGTGTTTCCTGCGGCAGAAATTCAGTGACTCTGAGGTGACACCTGTTTTGGGTAGCGCAACAATCTTATTCCACACTGCAGCATGCCAGGAACACATTACCCATGTGCCCCCCTTTTCCCAAGGAATCTGCACTTGGATTCACCTCCCAGCCTGATTTCTTGAGCTTTCCATCAGGCAGCTTTCCCCATTCGCCCTGAACATGACTTCCAAGGGCAGCTATGAGGGTCAGAGCTGTAAGTGTGAGAGGCAGTGTTTTGTTGTTCATAGGATCATGGAATCACAGAACAGTTTGGGTTGGAAAGCACTTGAAAGACTATCTCATTCCAACTCACTTGCTATCATCAGAGACACCTTCCATTATCCCAGGTTGCTCACAGCCCTATCTAGCCTGGCCTTGAACACTTCCAGGGATAGGGCAGGCACAGCTTCTCAGTTCCAGTCCCTCACGACCCTTATAGTAAATAATTTATTTCTAACATCCAACATAAACCTGCCTTCTTCCAGCTTAAGGCCATTCCCCCTCGTCCTTTGACTACATGTCCTTGTGAAAAGTCCTTCTCCAGCTTCCTTGTAGCCCCTTTAGGAACTGGAGCAAGTTGTTGTTCATTGTCTCATGACTGCTGGACAGATCTTCAGCAAAGGTGTGAATGTCTGTCCATCCCAGAGTTTACTGTGCTCAATGAAATATTCTGTTTTTAAATCCCAGGCAAGTTTCTGAATGTCAAGCCCTGGCTTTGAATGGTCAGGAGAATTTAATAAATATTCTAATGACCTTAAATGAGACCACAGGATGTGTGGTTAAGCAGTTATACTTGTTAATTGGGAGATGTAGCTAGTAATAACCAAATTGAAAGAGGAAATTGAGTTAGTGCCTGTAAGAAATGAGACATTCACAGTGGACCCTCTCATTAGAGACTTAAAAATTATTATTTTTCTAAACTTAATCACCTATTTCATTTTTCACCCACTTCAGCCAGACACAAGTATTCTTTTCTGTGACAGTGGTTTAACATAAATTATGTATAACTTGTCTTATTGGAGAGTTTGTGTCTTTGTGCTTTTAGCTTGAATCTGTGTTTTTTTCCCTAAGGAACAAAAAAATTCTGTTAAATGGAAAAAGTTTTATTATACTCTGTTAAGTTTTCTACTGTATAGGAAGGTTAAAGCTTTTATTTCATTTCCCTCACAGAAGAAACAAAGTTCCTGTGGGAGACAATCATAGGTGAAGATGAAAACCCCTTGGTGTTTTCAGTGTATCTTTCAGATGCTTTCATGGTGATTTTGGATGAAATACCTACATAGATAAAATGGACGTAGAATAATAGAACTATTTGGATTAGAAAAGCCCTCTAAAATCATCAAGTCCAACAATTAACCTGACACTATCAAGTCCACCATTAATTCTTCACAGGTGTATGAGGTTTCTGTCTCTTTACTTACTCTGAAGGTGCAAACTTCAATTTCTGATTCCAGCCCCTGTTTCATACACTCAGTCGTTGTGGGTTTTTCCCTGTAGCTGCTGCTGAGGGATGTCTGCTCTTTGCATAGACTCTCCTATGAAAGAGTGAGGCCTTAATTGTGTCTTCATCTAGAGAGGTGGATCAGAAAGTGTTTTCACATTCACTAAATATTTTAGAGGTTTGAAAGTTTCTCTGCAGCAGGATAAAAACTAGAAATGTTCAGAGATTTTTGTAAAAAGGCTGCAGAGTGTGAAGGAAAATGATGTACTGGAATAGGGTCCAAGGTTAAGCTTCTCAGCTGGACTGAAGGTTCAGAACAGGGTTTTCACATTCCAGTTGATGCCCTCATCACCAGGTAATTGGCTATTTTGAGGAGGCTTTTTTTTGACTTCAAGTAGGAATTTTCAAGCTGAGCATGAAAAGTCATTTTGTTCTCAGATGTTTCTTTTAAATCAGTATGCCTCTGTTTTGGTATAATGCATGTTTTCTCCATATAGCTTCTTCTGAAAAAATCTAATCTAAGGTAGAAATTAGCCCTTCTTTGAACATGTATTTAACCAGATGACCTCCTAAAAAGTTCTCCAACCTAAATTCTATGATTCAGCTTGGAAAGATCGCCCTTGATCTCTAATAAGCAAAAATGATTCTTGAACCTAGAGTTATAATACAGCAAAAAATGTCACATTAAGTGCTGAATGCCATGGTCTAAAGACTTAAATATTAACTTATAAACAAATTATTAGCTAGTGTTCTCAGTTGCTGAGTAGTTTTATGCATATGAACTTTGCATAAGTTCTCATATATATATATTTTTTTTAAATATATATATTTACATATATATATATATATCTCTCTCTCTATATATAGATATATATATGTGTATGTGTGTGATATTAGACACAGAGAACCGTGTAAAGGAAGGAAAAAAATCATGTCAGTAAGGGACACAGGGCCAGGGGCAGCCCCAGGCACTGGATGATGCTCATGTGCTCTATGGCCCCACTTTGACCTAGTACAAGTGGAAGCATTCAAGGGGAAATGATTGATCATGCCTGGGATTTTACCATGGGCACAAACCCTTCCCATTTAGCAATGTGGATGCTGTTCTGGCTACATTTCAAATGGTAAGTAACACAAGGAAGTGGAAGGTCACTCTACAGAGGCTGGGGAAGTTGAGGTTGTATTTCAGTCTGTGTCCTGAGTTGCCTGGGGTGTCCATAGCCAAGCCTCTTCAGTTATTTTAGTCTCTTTATGCCACTTGCATTATCTTAGCCTCTTTCTTTCAGATGTGTAAAAGTCTTGCTTTAGAAACTCAGCTTTTCAAAACAGTTTTTGTTTTCTGTGGTATGTTGGCAGACACACATGGGAAGGGCCTGTCCTAGGTTGGGACCTCTCGAGGTTCTCATAATCCAAATAATGAAGACAAGGGAATGCCATGTGATTTCTTAGGAAATGACCATCCAGTCTCCTTGAGAGATGTAAAATGAGTGATTTTTCTGTGTGTACCACCTTTACAAGAGCAAGAGTGACCATTTCAAGAAGGATTTGGGGACAAGCTTCTGCATATCTGTGTTCGCAACAGGCAGGAGCAGCTTCCACAATTATTAAATTTAGTATAGCTTCTATTGAATCTGCCATGGAAGAACTGCTGTGAAAAAAAAAGCCATGGAGCATGATTATGTTTGCATTTGAGCTGCTGTGATATAGAATAAATGCCTGGCACATAAAGAGCTTCTTCATGGATGAGATTGGTTCCTAAAGATGGGCTTTTACCTTCCCTTGCCAGGTAGAAAACACTCAAATGCCATGCCTCTTCACTTATCTGGCTGCAAAACAAAAATATAGGCTATTTAACAGAACTGACCTATGCTGGGTTAAAATACATTTTTAAATGTGTTGATAATGCCACAGAGGGAATATGTAATGAGAGAGATCAGTGCTCCTGTAGCAAGTGCAGTGCTAAGGCTGGGGTTGTGCTGAGGCTGAGGCTGTGCTGGGAGCTGAGGTGTACCCCTGAGCCCACCCTGGATCAGCTAAGTAATGAAATGTTTGTTTGCTTCCAGATGAATACAAGAGTAAAGTAGCCTGTGAAGATGACAAGCTGAGGCTGAGCTGTAAGAAGAGCATGGTGATAGCCATTTACTCTGCTATCTTTGGGAGGACACAAGGAGGCAGCCTGGAGTGCCCTTACCAAAACCTAGGAAGGCCCATGATTGGTAAGCAGGGGAATGGCTTGATGACACACTGATGTGGGCAGGGTGATTTCATTTACTGTCATCACAGCAGAGCTGGCACAGACTCTGGTCAGAGAAGCAGGACTGGGAGATGGAACTTGGCATGGTGGTGCTCCTGATGTGTGGTACCTTGTCAACCAGCAGTGAGCTTCATCATGAGCACCAAACTGAGGTGCAGCTATTTGTCCTAGCTGAGTTCCACAGCCAGGCCACAGGCTTTTCACAGATTCATCTGATTGTATGATTGAAGGTGCTTGAATTTCTTATCAATTTTCTGTCTTCGTGGTGGTTCATCCAGTGAGCCTCTGCCTGTAATTTCGAGGGACATATTATCTGGGGATGTCATGTACCATCTGCAGCCACTGAAGCCTTGACATTGCATTTAAACTTTTACTGAAGTTAAATCAAATTCAAAAAGCAAGTTGTTAAGTTTCATCATGTTATGGTTAGCTTACAGTACCTTCAAGTACCTTCTTTACTCTCAGGCTATCAGAGTCTCTACCAGTCATGAGTTAAAGATAAATAATTGAAAAACATTCACTGGAACTTGAGCTGATGTGAAATGACTTTGAATATTTTAGGCTGTGGTAGAGAAAGCAACAGTCACAGTACAAAATCCTGTGCTCAGCATTTGTCATAATTCTTCTCTGCAGAGCTGAGAGGGAATTAACAGGTTTCCCAAAGGAATTGCCTCCAGAGAGCGAAAGGCTTCAGAGGAGACTGCACAGGGAACCTTGATCTGCTGCTATTGCCTGTGCTGAGATCTGTTCTGCTGTATCTGAGGGTCTTTGGCTTCACAGCTGCTGATCCTGTGCCCTTAAGGAGTTAAATGCTATTCAAATGGAACCGTGTCAAGTGAGCAATATGATACTCAGATGATGGGTGTCAGTAGAAACCCACAGGTGGAATGAGGCCACTCAGGTTATTTGCGCAGCGTGGTGAGTGTCTTGCTTGTGTGGCTGTGCAAATCTGAGCACTGGTAGCACAGCTGAGTTGTACAGGGTGTGGTCCTGGATGTGCTCCTGTAGTCCCCCAGTTGCCAGAAGCCAAAACAGATGTGTGTGGCAGGTTATCCTGGGCCTTTTTGATGAGGTATTTGGGATGGGCTGAGTCTGTGCACTGGGTGCTGTGGGGATTGGGCTGCTGGGTGAGAACTTGCCAAGTCAGTGAAACAGGATGGGTTTCTGGAGCAGACCTGAGCACCTTACTCTGTTGTATTTGCTGAGGGGGCAGGAACAGGCACTTGCCAGTGACAAGGCACCAGCACAGGGACCCACTCTTCAATGTCAGCATGAAACAAAACTCTATGTGAAGCCACAAAGGGTAAAATTTTATTCTTCTTTTCCCAGCTGCAAAATCATGAAACTGGTACTGGCTGAGAGCAGGGTATGAGGGACCAGAAAATGGGACAGCAGGCACAAACAGGGAGAACAAGCAGTGGGGTCTGACAGCAGGGCTGCATGTGCCATAGGATCTCCAGCACCTGTATGCCCTGCTGTTCTCAAACTGGCCTTGTGAGCTCTACAAATTGGGATGTTTGCCCAAGGAAATGAGGTGTCAGATCCTAGAGGGCAGCACTCAGTCTGCTGCTGGGATGAGGCAGGGCCTTCCTCAAGTGTCAGCTCCTAAATGAAATTACTAACATGAGCAGGCTTAGTGTAATGCCAAGTCAGGGGTGGGAATGCTGAGGAAACTTTACACTAAAAAAACAGCTCAAGGTTTTAAGCTGTGAACAGATGCTAAAAATGACAAAGTTGTTGGACAGGAGCAAATATCCACATGTTTGGAATTGCTGGGGTCTCAAGTGTCCTAAGTCAGTCTGGTGCTCCTGGGGTGCTGTGGGAGTTGGTATGTCCTATCCATAAGAGCAAAGGGAGGGTGGGAAGGGTGTCTGGAATGTCTGCTGGCTGCATGCCCTGCAGGGCTGGGGAGGAGATGTGAGGAACTCACCATGGAGCAGTGATTCCCCAGGCCTTCCCTGCCATTTGGGCTCTGTGTGTGTGGGGTGAAAGACAGACTATGGCTGTTGATGTTTCCTTGAATGATGAAATCCTGAGCAAATTGTGGGGGCAGAGTGAGCTTAACTAAAAGAAAGTTGGGGGTGAGCAGATGGTCATTGCCAATTCACCATGCTCCAGCCCTTAAATCCCAGTCATGTTTGGGAGTGGTTGTTTAGGTTTCCTCAGCTACAGCTCAGGGATCCCCTTGGCATGAGGCAGCCTCTGATTATCACAGCCTTCCCTTCATCTGCCTGTGTGAGCTGACCCAGTGGGGCAGAGCTCCAGTGCTGCAGGAATGGGAAGGTGAGCTCTGGCTGTAGTTTGCACTTCTCTTGGCCCCACAGGAGAAACTGGTGTAGGATCCTCTAACCCAAATCAGCAAAAAGCACATTCACACTCTGCTTTCCCATGGCACACTGCAAACCTCCCATTGCTGTCTCCAGGGACAAGAGCAGGTTGTGCTCCCAGCTGCCACGAGTGATTGTGGGAGCAGCACTCAGGGTCCCCCAGCCTGCTTCAGAACTGCTCTTCTCACGGGCCTGCCTAGCCCAGCAGGCAGCTCTGTTCCTTCAGGAGCAGGTGGAAACATCACAATTTATAAATCAAAGCTTCTGCTAGCTGGAGAACATTTGCCTGCACGTTTCCACAGCCCTGCAGTGTGGGGAGGGCTGCTCCGTGGCAGCCTTTGATCCCAGACATTCACAACAAGCTGATTTTACAAACATGTCTGTATGAGTCAGACTTTGCAGCAACATCCAGTTCCTGTTAGGCAGAGCCCAGCTATGTTCTGTACATGGGAGATTTATTTTTTTTGAATTTCATTGGTATGATGATTTTTGTCAAGTCTGAGCCTTGGCAAAGGGCATTTTGCTGGAAGTAGGACCTGCACAAGTTTGCAGTGATTATTTTTATCCGTGCAGCCTGAGCCACTTGATGAGTGAAGAAGTCATGCTTGTCCCAAAACCAGTGAAGATTATCTGTTCTTCCTCTCCTAATGAAAAACAGTTCAGAAAATTTGGTTCCATTTTTCTTTCTGTGGACAAAATGCACATTTGGATTGAATTTAGAAATATACAGCTTCTACAGGTGAGGATTTTAAAGAACTGAGGTCTAAGATGGGCAGGAGAGGTGGCCTAATAGAGCATTGCATATGTAAGGTAAACCAATGCAATTTGTGTTGTTTCTGCCTTGAAAAACAAGACCTTGTACTCCGTGGAAGTGTTGAGGAGAAAAAGTCTACTACCTGAATTTCCTGGATTCTACATTAGATGCTCAGCTGGTTTCTGAGGTATCCTGGTGTTGCAGTCATTTTAACCCAGCTATTGCTGTGCTGCTTTTTGGGTGATGAAAGATCCGCAAGCCACCCTTCACATGCCATGCCAGACACATGCTTTCTCTTTGTATAATGTCCATGTGAATGTGCTTAGCATCTGTGAAGAGAAAGTTATGGTGGAGAACTCCATCCTATTGCTGTCATGTTAAAGTGAAAATCTGTCAGAATCCTCTTTTAACTGGAAGCATGCTGAAACTTGCGTCTCTGACCATAATGGGAAACCCCTGCAAACAGCTGGAGCCCTCTTGAATGTCTTGGGAACTCTGAAAAGCTCCTAAAAGAATTTGACCTTATTTGTAACTCTCTTAATAAAGCCTCCACTTTGCTGCCAGCATGTGCAGTGAGCACACACAGAGCATGGAGAGGTCTCTGGGGAAAGGGCTATTTACAAGCAATGAACCATTAATATCCCTCAGCCAAGTGAGCCCTTTGCCCCCTTTTCCTGCTGTTTACAGCTGCCTCTGCCTGCATCTCCAAGTGGCTTGTTTCCTCTGAGAGAAGTAATGCAAAAAATGGCCTTTTTCTACATGTGTCTGAGTGCAAGGTAGTGATCTAATTAGGAGGCTGAGGAAGAAGATCTTGGATGTAAAATGATTACCCTTTTTGTTGCTTAGTGCAGCAATATCTTTGCTCATGTTCAGGACACCTTACTCATTCACATTATTCATTTTTACAGTGTCTCTCCCCCTGAACCACAGGGAGTGAGATGGACGTGTTCAGCTGACTTCTGACACAGGATCCAGGACTCTTTCTCAAGGACCCTGTCTTTCTCCATCACACAGAGCCCAAAGCAATTTATAAATTTATACAAAAAGGCCAAAGCAATTTAAGGGCTCATCCTGGGTAGAAGGAATCTGGGCTTGGTGTTGGAGTCGCAGCAAGATCGTGGGAACCTTGGCTCCTCAGCCTTTCTCTGGGTCCTGGTGTGTGAATTAATCTGAGACTGCTGAGACTGAAATGTCCTTGTCACTTAACATACAAGTTGTCTCCTGTGCTCCTGTAAAGGGGAAAAATGAATGTGTTTACAAATAACTGAGGAAGCTCAGATGGTCAGTGGCACTCTCTGACTCATGGGATCTGATAATGGAAGAGCACAGGAAGGAGTTCAGCAAATGAGCCCATGCTTTAGGTGCTCATTCCCTGGCATTTTTCATTCTAATGCAGTGACAGAAGGTGATCCAACCCAGTTTGTTTTGATTTCCCTCTCTTAATGCAGATGTATATAAGACTTGAAGCAGAGTCCTCATATAAATATTTATTACATCATATAAATAATGGACCCTTCTAGTTTGTTTATCTGTGACCAGATCTAGCATGTGAATGAATATGAATTACATGCAGTAAAAAATCCATTCTATTCCAGGGTACATGTTCCTGCCAGCAGAAGAGCTGGCTTTAAGAGACTGCTGCCCCTTCAGCTGTGCATTTCTGACTCTCTTCTACTTTACCATCTATGATCATTTTCCATCCTGTTTCCATCAGGACAAGGTTGTGGCTGTGCTCTAATCTTAGTCTTAAGTCAAATGCTTAAAAATAAAAGTGTTGAGCTGGACAATGAGGAGTAGTAACCCCTGGCACTGCTGGGGGAAGCAGAGGATGGCTGGGACTGCGTGAAGGGATGGGATATCTACAGAAATCTGTGCTGGCCA